GCATTGAGTTCCAGACCCTAACTGATCTTACTGTGAAGAACCCCCTTCGCCCCTTGTGCTGGAATTTTTTTTCCACCAATTTTAGGTGGTGGCCTCTAGTTTTTGTAATGGAGTTAATTTTAAACAGTTTATCGCTAATGTTGCTACCACCATTGAACATTTTGTACATGGAGATCATACCCCCCCTTAATCTCCTCACCTCCAATGTGAACATATTTAAATTTAGTAGCCTTGCCTAGTAGCTCTGGTCCTCCATACCCCTAATTAATTTGGCTGCCCTCCGCTGGACTTTTACCAACTCAAGGACATCTTTTCTTAGTACTGGTGACCAGAACTGTACCGCGTACTCCAGATGAGGTCGAACCAATGATCTATAAAGTGGCAAAATTATAGACTTGTCCCTGCAATACATCCCCTTTTTAATACAGGACAAGACCCTGCTAGCTTTGTTTACAGCAGCCTGGCACTGCAAACTACCTTTCAGTTTGTGGTCTACAATGACCCCCAAATCCTTCTCCATTTCTGACTTCCCCAGCGGCATACCCATAATTGTATAACCCATTTGTTTATTTTTAATTCCAAAGTGCATTACTTTGCATTTATCGACATTAAACCTCATCTGCCACATTAATGCCCACTCCCCTATTTTATCCAGGTCCTCCTGTAATGTTATAGTGTCTAAGTCCGTGTCTATTACCCTCCCAATTTTGGTGTCATCCGCAAACACGGAAATATCGCTGTTAACACCCTCCCCGATGTCATTAATAAATAAGTTGAACAATATGGGACCCAGCACAGAACCCTGAGGCACACCGCTCATTACACTAGCCCAGTCTGAAAAGGTGCCATTTACAGATACCCTCTGGACACGTTCCCGTAGCCAGTTCTCTATCCACGTACACACCACCTCATCTATGCCCATAGCCCTCAGCTTGTGTAGCAAGCGTTTGTGTGGTACCGTATCAAAAGCCTTTGAGAAATCCAGATATACCACATCTACCGGCTTACCTCCGTCCATATCTCTACTTACCCCCTCATAAAAAGTTAGCAAGTTAGTTAGGCAGGAACGATCTTTCCTGAACCCATGCTGATTGTCATTAACTATCCCGTTTTCCTGAACAAATTCTACCAGATAATCCTTTATTATGCCCTCTAGCATTTTACAAACTACCGATGTTAGACTGACCGGCCTATAGTTCCCAGGTTGGCACCTAGCCCCCTTTTTGAATATTGGGACTACCATAGCCCTCCGCCAATATAATAGTAATAATAATAATATTGATAATAATATAATGATTTTCTGAAATATTTGATTGAGTTGTAACACACATTGTTCACAAAATGACAGATATGTTCATTACAGCTCACTCTGTTATACAATAGTATGACGTGGCACAACATTTATAAATAAATAGTGTTGAACTCAACACCTGTTCTATTCCCATTGTGATATAGTTCATAATTAGGGATGCACCGATACCACTTTTTTAAGGCTGAGTACGAGTACCGATATTTTTTTCAAGTACTCGCCGATACCAATTACCGATACTTTTTCTTCAAGGGACAGGTCAAATTTTTGCAATACAAAATCATGATTTTAGGTCAGTTTCTTAATATTATGAAGAACATGAACACTCTGTAGTGTGGCACAGCTATATCCAATTCTGCATACCTGGCTTTATATTATAAGAACTTTATAATATAAAGCCAGGTATGCAGAATTGGATACAGCTGTGCCACACTATACAATAATACACTGTTCTGGAGTCTGGAAATTTAATCCGGTACCATTTACTAAGGCTTGTATCCCCATAGTGGGGAAAATAGATGAGCACATGTCCAGAACACAGTGTATAGTGTGGCACAGCTGTATCAAATTCTGTATAACTGGCTTTATATTGTTATTAAATTTTCTTATAATATAAAGCCAGGTATGCATAATTGCATATAGCTGTGCCACAGTGTTCTGGTCTGCAGTCTAGACATGTGCTCATCTATTTTCACCACTAGGGGGATACAAGCCTTAGTTAGTCTACATAGTACATACTTATTTTCTTTTTTTTAAATGATATATGCCGGTAAATAGCATTTTTGTGCCCAGCCCCATGAGGTGCGGCAGTACTAACCTGCTGTGTCGTCTTCTCCGTCTCCGTCTGCTTCAGCCACTCCCGCTGATTGGCCGATTGGATGATGACAGGCTTCCTCACCAAGTAGAAAAAATAGGTTACCAGCACTCGCAGGAAATAATATGGAATCAATTTCATGTTTGTTGAATGCACAGGTGTAAGTTATATCCTCACTGTGTTCACCTTGTGGTTCCATGTTGTATCACAATTTCTTTTAAAGGTCACAACAGAGGTGATTGTGTGTGTGATTGCCGATATGGTTCAGCAAGATAAAAAACGTACCCAAATAGGGGGCCTCCTTGCTGGGGTGCAGAATGTATGTCTATGTTAGTACTTTTTCTTTATTTTCACCCACTTTTTTTCAATATGGTGTTTTATCTATCTGTCTCTTACTGCTTTATCCTTATTCCTGATACCCGTTTTCCCATATAGATCTCGATTTAAATGCTGTATGGGATTATATTATTTCCCCACTCTGAGGTTATGGTGCTGTGCCTGTGTAATGCTAATAGCTGTACGCTTGCTCTTTCCACACTCTGCCGATATTCCGGCTGGCGCATGCGCACTAGAATCGTGGAGAATTGTATCTCCCCATCACCCTGGTTACGAATGACGTCTATCATATGCGTCTAACCAGGACAGAAGGCGATGCTGTGTATATGACAGAAGGACACCGGATCGCAACTCTGCCTCATACTCTTTACATCCTTAGCAGATCGCCAAGATGATTTACATTACACCGCCGCAGCCATCATTCTTAACCTCAGACTGGAGGCAACAAACTGTGAGTAACATGGATAGTATATATGTGTTTTTTAAACATGTTTTTGTATTTTAAAAATGGCGTTTTTCCCGACATTCTGACATCACTGGGGGGGTGTCTATTGATAATTGGTTCACATCATGGGGTATATATGTGGTGTGTGGACACCATCACATTGTCACATCTTTTGCCCTGAGGAAGGGACCCTGCACGTCGGCTGTTTGACTATTGTGACACGTATGTCCAATAAAAAGGACTTATCTATTTGAAATCAACCTGAGTGCTGGTAACCTATTTTTTCTACTTTGTGTATTACACGGTGCCATCTGTGGGAGTTACTGCAAGCACCTTATCTCTACTGGCCGGGACTGCTGAAAGGTGTGCGGAGAGCACCCTCACCAATTACAGGCTTCCTCACCAGTCACTCCTGACTGGTGAGGAAGCCTGTCAATCATCCAACCGGCCAATCAGC